GGCCTGACAGCAAACCCTCTTGAGCTAGACGGGAATTGGCTAGCATTTCTGCAGGGGGTTGCTGATGAGGTGGTCTTCCAGGACAGGGGCTCTGCATATCCACCCTTCCACTTAGGGCGTGAGACTGGCTGCCTCAAGAAAGTTGGCGACATGACTGGATAAGGAACATGTAAACAATGCAAGAGATAGTTTTGTAATATGTAGTGATCATGCAGAGGTCTAGCATGTATATGTCTTGTGAACTAGTCGATTGTTCGTCAGTGGCATTGTGAATTGGTCTTCCATGGATCCAAATAAACCAGACCAACTTGGTGCTCCAATTCACTACATACATGAGATAATTGCTTGTATGGTCACCTATCATAGGTCAGTCAGTCAGTCAGTCAGTCATAGGTGATGATCATGAAAAGTGTTGCAACAACTCAATTGTGTGGTGACATTACATGCATCCTGAGCATTGGAGATGTTTGGCGAACATAAATTCTACGAGGTCCGTTGGTGAGATCTCTAAATTTACAGAAGCAATGATGCTTTCGCATGCTTCTCTACAAATGGGCGATCAGGTTGCACTTATGGCTAGTCCGTTGGCATCAGTGCGAGCCATCATGTCTGCAATACATGCGTACAAAAGCTGTCTATTCTAACCAGCACTTGGCATGCACCGAGTGAGTTGTGTGTGAAGTCGCCGAGGCGGTTCGTATCTTATTTCCTCTTCAGACCCATCCAGATAGATCCGCCGTCCTCCCTTGTAAGGATTTGGGGTCATTGCTTTTCGAAACATGGCCTGTACCTGCAGGTAACAAAGACCAACTGTCAAAGCATTGACTGTTTGCACCAGTAGCACACACTAAAAGTGTGGGACTGTAATTGTGGCGGTGACTCCAATTTGAGGATGTTAAAACACCATCAACCACCCCCAAAACTTTGTGATGCTGAAGTTTGGTCTCTCACCGCAGATCTGTAGTCCATGTGCTCTGTTCCGCACCAGCGGTCCCAATGTGTGAAGTAAAGTGAGAAATGCCTCGTGGGGAACCTGTGGTGCATGTCATGATGCCGCACAGTGTTCAACCCTCCTCGCAGGTTCGGTTTGGGATGCACCCAGCTCAATGCCCCAAACAATAACGATTCTATAGAAGGTATAAAAGGCGCAATCTCATAGCCTGCATGGCCCCCTGCAGTCCACACCTTGACATTATATGTCTCTGTCTTACTCTGGTGATCGACAGTGTGCTCAAATAGAGCATCTCATTCCTGGAAAACCTCAGCATGAGTGAAGGGGAGACGCACCATTGTGAATGACAGTGGTGAAAAGATGGTAGATCCGGTGGACACCAATGTGGATGGGGAACATGAAGCAGACAATGATCTCATTTGCAAATACAATGGCTGCCTCCACCACATGGAAGCTGTAGCCTGTAAAAGCTGTCGGCGCCACAGACCTGCATTCATAAAGTAACCATAGTCCAGCAGCTGCAAACTATAAGGCTCAACTTCAAGTGTGCCAAAAGGAAGCTATGGATGGCAACTGTTTGCTACATGTCTGGCACACAGGGAGTGCAGAGGGCCTCACTTGTGGTGGAGGTGGTGGACATGTTTGTAAAGAAAGCGACTGTGCAGCAGTCGGTGCGTCCAGTAGAACCATGTGTCATGAAGGTAGTCAAGCAGCATGATTGTCAACAAGACGTATAGAACCTGCACATGCAGCAATTAAGTGTGTCACCCCTGTGCACCTCCAAAAGACTTCCCATGAGTAGAGTCCATGGGGCGCATCCACAGCCCAGCCACGGCATCGGTTTCTGCAGGGTTGTTGTCTAATGAACTCAACTAAGCAATGTAATACATCAGGCTGAGATGTACCTTGGACCAGCTGTCAAAGGGTCCACTATAGAGCTTGCTGATACCTGCCGCATGAAGCTTCTCCACCACTGTAAGAACGGCTGCCTTGACCAAAATGGGTCCTGCACCGAAATGAAAGCATCAGTACACGTACAACCAAACATTTCGATGGCATAACGGAGGTCAGTGGACTCACCAAGACTGTAGATTGCCTCACGAATGACCTGTCCCTTCTGTCTCTCCTGGACCTGGATGCTCTTTACAGGCAGCAGCCAAGGTCCTACCCAGTGCAGGGCTATACAGGCAACATAGTACACAAGGCTGACCTGCAGAACGGCTTGTTGATAATCCCCTCCGTACAAGGACACCATAACCTCACAAAAATCGCCTCTATGATGACGCGCAACTGCTTAATGGATAGTCCTATCAATCTTCCATGCCTAGTTTGAATATCTAGTTCCGCTCTATGCTGCTGATTGGGCACTTTCAGGAACAGGGAGGAATAAGATTTGCTCTTTAGTAGCGGTTTGTTGACATAACTTCCAAGGTCAAGCACCTATATTAACTAACTATCCCCACATGATGCTCAGATCAGAACAAAAATAACTGAAGATAAGTGCGCCGCACTTAACTTTATCTGAATGGAAAGAGGTTTCGAATGACAAGACGACAACTGCTTAGCTATTCAATCCCATCCGAAGGTACCGTAAGCGTTGACATGATCACGGAGGGGCGTCAACTTACACAGAAGAGTCAGCCCCTCACCTTCAGCTCGCCCAGATTTCTAGCTTCAGTGTTGACCATCAGGTGCACATCATAAGTACGGAGTAGCTGCTGTAGCTGTATCCCGTCCAGATGTTGCGTATCGTGCGGTTCTGCAGATCTACAGTCTATGATGCCCCAACCATTGCAACAGCGTTGCAGTGCAGATATATAAATTCGGGGCATGCCTGCCAGCAAGCAGAACCCCTTCCTACCGAAGATGACAATGTTGAAAATTCAGTACCCACACGAGAATTCGGCGCAATCCGCACAGACTGGACGTGAGATCCCTATCCAATTGCTAAAGAAGCGTCATGAGCATTTCTTCAATCATAGTTGCATTGTGACAAATACACCGCACAAAGCAGCAGTATTTTCCCTTCATGAAGCTGATGCTTGCCTTCTCGCAGTCGCGAGGAAGTCAACGCGGTCTACAGCACACCCCTCTTGGAGCTAGTTTTCAAAGCAGCGTCGGTCCATCGTTTGTATAACGACCCGCAGATGGTACGTTAAATGTCGCTGGAAGGCCAATACATGGGCCTTTGTTGTCTCCTATGATGTCTCCAGGGTAAAACAGATCTGCAGCACCTGTTGCACCACAAGTACTTGAACAAGTTGCAATGATGTCTTGCAGGTGCAGCGATGCACTTTGCTCAGCATCAAGACCGGCGGATGTCCAGAGACGTGCACATACTGCTCGCAAAGCAGCTCATGGAGGAAAGAGACTGGCCTGAAAGCTGAGAAGCTTATGGACCTAGAAGAGACATACCAGGTTCGCAGAGGCAGCACCATCAATAATTTTCTGGTAACAGCTGTTGAGTAACATGCTGCCATGAAGTTTTAATTTAGCAAAGACATGACCCAGAAGGCGCCAGTGGCTGCATGCCTGCACATGCAAGCTGGGTTAAATGGTGATTGTGACGCTGTCCAGCAGCTGGCATGTACGCAGAAGATGAGCAACATGTGTCCATATGGCAGGCTGCCTTGCGAGCAAAGGAGTCAGGCAGCACTCGGTTCTGCATGGGGGCAGCATGGCGGGGGCCCTCCCAGGTGGGCAAGGGCCAGTGGGAGCGCGTGCTTGAGATGGTGGCGCGGATCCGGGGCCTTGGCATGGAGGTGCTTCCCTTCGTGACCTTCTTATGAGATTCAGGATTTGTGGTCTATGCTCCGTATGATAAGAAGTACTGATAGTGGCCCCCAGTGCAGCATGCGGTGAAGCTGATGAGTATTTTTCCCCAGAGTATTGCTTGAATAAAACTTCATAAAACTTCATAAAATATTGCTGTGGCAATATCATTGCCGTCAGCTCCTCACAAGTGACTGCTCTGAATGAAGGTGTGCACAACGCTGGGCATGCTGACGCCTGAGCAAGCAAAGCAGCTGCGGGAAGCCGGCCTCACTGCTTACAACCACAATCTGGACACCAGCCCTGAGTACTATGGCAAGATCACCAGCTCCAGGAAGTATGAGGTGTGTTCTTATGTTGTCACTGTGCTATTTTGTGCCGGATCTACACCATCCACTCCATCAGGTGCTGTAAAAGAGCTTGTGAAGCGATCCGTTTATGCCGGCAAATTGGTCCGTTGCAACGGCAGTTAATGCAAAAACTGAGATGCATTTCTATGCCTGTGTGCCTACTTTTGAGAGTATGACCATGCATGTCAGCCTGAATTCGGCTTTGATGACCTGGTCAGGACCGGCTTGAAACCCTGGCGAATGTGCGTGATGCCGGCATCTCGGTGTGTGCGGGGGGCATCATTGGCATGGGGGAGGGCAACATGGACCGTGTCGGCCTGCTCCACCAGCTGGCCACCCTGCCAGAACATCCTGAGTCGGTCCCTATCAACGCACTCGTCGCTGTCAAGGGCACACCCCTCCAGGTGTGCTAAGTTCCTTGTGTCTCCATGGGCCCCTGTCTCCTTCTTGTTCTATTCCATTTCAATTTCCATTCCAAATTCTCATGCAATTCCTGTTCTCGAACATGGGTGTGATTGAACCTGATATCTCACAACTTCAGTGGGTGTAGAGAGCACAATCTGACGTCCTACGGTGTGGACTGCGCAGGATCAGCCACCACCATCTGCTTTGGAGGTAGTACGGTGCATAGCAACTGCGAGAATCATTATGCCCCGCAGTGTCGTGCGTCTAAGTGCTGGACGCCTGAACTTCTCCCTCAGCGATCAGGTACGTGATCTTCGAGGGCATCTCTTTCACGATCCGTTCCGTTGATTTCCTGATTTTTAAGAATGAGACATCTCTGCTACTGCAAAGGTAATGTCGAACATTGACATGAAGCGGTCGGTATTTTGTATGCCTTAACTTCTCCCACATTGTTATCCTCGGATGAGGGCACGGGTGACCGCAACGTACATGAATGCTGAAAAATTCAAACTGATCCCATTGGTTGCGTGGTGTAGTGGTTATCACGTCTGCCTTACACGCAGCAGGTCATGGGTTCGATCCCCATCGCGACCATTACTTTTTTTGGGGATTATTCTTTTGTCTTTTGTCCACATTTAGTTAACGTCCCTGCTGTGGACAGGCACTTTGTTTCATGGCGGGTGCCAACAGCATCTTTGATGGTGACAAGCTGCTCACCACGCCCAACAATGAGCGAAATGAGGACCTGCACATGTTTGAGACTCTTGGTCTTCGTTCGCGGCCAGCCTTCCTGCCTTACTCAGCTGGAGCAGCATCAAGTAATGGCAGCTGTGGCAACTCTGCTCAGAAAGTAGCCATGGCATAGGATCTTGGGCTACTATGGTGTTGTGGTAGTACCCGGTGTACAGCAACTTACTGAGTACTGGTCTTGATTGCAATCAATTGATCAGTCCAGATATTTTATGCTTTATAGCTGTGGGTCACCTGTGAAGGTGGCTATACTCATTAAAAACTCTTAAACAATGAATACGAGCATACTCCTATCTGCGTTCAGACTTCTCGAGACAGATATATATATCTTCGAGTGCAAGTGAGTCTAATTAGCAATATATTGAATATAAATAATCATTACGACGTGATGTCCATTTAGAACATCAACTGGATAATAAGCTGAGAATATTAATTTACATTCTGTGATTAGTGTGCAACGATTTCAGCACCAACCAGGCTGTGATCGGTCATCACTGCATGCTGGCATTCCGACTCCTTGCTGTGTGATTGGCAACATGAAATACGCATGCCTGAGAGCCTGCACAACAACATGCAGAATAAGACCAAAATTTCTGACAGCCGGCAAGGCCAGTTTGCGAATAAGAGCGCATGAAAGCAGCATTGTCCGGATTCCTTCACAACAAGCAGCATTACTTGCGGATTATAAGCAGGCTTGGGCCAAAGCGAAGGAACCGAACAATGCTCTACACGGTCAAGAGTGGCAAAGCTTGCCTGCTCAGCTGTAGGCCGAGCAGCAGGGTTCCAGTGGAGGAGGGACATGAGCAGGCGCAGCGCCTGAAAGCTGGGCAGTCCCTGGCCCGAAGGGTCACGTTTCTTCAAGACCTCCAACAGTGCCTGGTCAGTGCAGCTCCACGACAGTGGCATGCTAGTCTTGATACCTGCCACCCCACAGAAACCTGATCAGAAACAAACGATCTGTCATGACAATGGCCATAGGACCTTGTCAATGGCCATGAGGAGTTTCTTTGTCTTGCGGGAGATACGGCGCCCATACACCGGAAGACGCTCTGTCGTCCAGGTGGAGCAGTAGCCATTCAAAATTGGTGCCAGTTACCTGCTTGCTGCGCAGCCAAAGGGCGAGGAGGGTAGATGCACAGCTCCATCAGGCCCCGCAGCCAGAACGCTAGCTTCCTGTCTTCCTGCACTTGTGGACCATCCTCAGGAGCAATTCAAAGAATCAATTCAAAGAAGCAATCAGGAAGCCCAAGGAACACCTGATCTCTGAGCCTACAAGGGGCAGTGTACGATTAGGAACATACCTCCAGCATTGCATCGAGGGGCAGTTTCTGGTACAGCCTCGCTCGTGTCCTCGCATCAATCTGTTTCGTGCACAGCTAGCGTGAGCCTGCTGCCAAAGATCTGCCCATGCAGCATACTGCAACCATGCATAATAAAACAAACGGTGCTATAAAGGGCATGCCTGGAAAACATGGCGTGTGCCGAGAACCAGCTCAAGCCAAGAGACCCCTAAGCTCCACATGTCATATGGCCAAGTGCGCTTCAGCACAGGCAGCCCAGTCCAGTACCTGGAAAGCACACATTTCTGACCCCATTCAACATCTGCTAGGAGCACCAGAGCAGCGCATCCATACTTGCAAAAAACCACCTGCAAAACGGTCCCTCTGTACCTTCCAAGGAGGGCTTCAGGCGGTGCATACTCCTGGGTCTGCTCGTTGATGGAGGGTCCTCGGACTCCGTACAAGGTTCGCACGGCGTGAGCGTCAATGGCGCTGCCAAAGTCTATCAGGCGCACATGCAGGCTAGGCTGCCCATCTCCCCCACCAGGCTGCAAGAGCAGGTTCTCTGGCTTCACATCCCTGTCACCAGAGCTGAAGACTCATGCCAGGCACCAAGATCACGTCTGCATCACCTCCGATGTGCTTCGACACCTGCAGGACTTTGCAAAGCAGCATGAGCAGGTCTATGTGGCATTGTGGTGATGGACTCGTTTACCGATGGGTCACATTAGCCGCATGCAGAGTTTCCAGAGCTGCAAGGATCTGCCTCAGAATGTCTCTGAGCATGGCTTCCCCGTGAGGCTCTGTTCGCATGGCCAACCACCACTTGCTTGGCTCCAGCAGCTTCGGTCCACCTGCCCAGACAGGAAGGTCTGACATGACTCGAATGCACGAGAAATGCACAGATGCGCACATCAGCATGGAGCGATGTTTCTGGTGGTGGCATGGCACACCTTTATCATCATCGGGCTGCTGGCTGGTATACATGAGTGAGTGCAGTGAGATGCCCTCGTCACAGAACACCAACCAGAGATCTGCGTTGTCCTGCAAAGCCACAGAGTATATTCTGAACAAGGCGGCCTTGTATTCTTTGGCTCCTAAATCTATGGAGAAAGGATGCTTAGGAGGGTGCAACCACCCAGCACACACCTCCAAGAACTCAACAAACCGCACAATGTGATCCTGGCCACTGTCTGGGCCCTGCACAGTTTGTACTTGCTGTTTGCCTTGCAGCAGCTTGCCAAAGTAGGCCTCCCTCAACCCGCTGAGGTGTGCCTCCAGCCCCTTGCTCGTCAGAATGTGCTTGAGCACATAGGCACCATTATCTCCACATGTCCCCACTCCTGCGCAGACATTGGTCAGCATCAGAGGAGTAGCACTGGTAAGTATATCATGCAGTTGACAGTCAGAGAAGAACGCACACAGTATCGGAAGTTGACAGCCTCTGGGTTGATATGCATGTTGCCTTGGGTTAAGATGCACCTTCCCGGTCCCTCCGTAGCTCCGCCCTCCACACCTCGCCAAAGCCGCCCTGTGCAAAGCGCTGGGACTCCAGCATGTAGTCAAGCGTGGCCCCCATGCCGCTGCCCAGATGTGGTTTCCTTTCCTCGGCAAGCGGCCAGCGCTGCTCTGGAGCCTCCCATCCGGCTAGCTGCAGCGGCAGGGATGCCAGGCCCTGCACCAGATCAGCCGCGGCCGGCGCAAGTTGCAGCTGCCCTGTGTGGAGCGCCCATCGGATCTGCATCTCTTCCTCTCCATCCTGGCGACTGCATGATGCCTCTTCTCCGGCCGCCTGCACAGCAAAAGGGTGTTGCGCCTGCTTGAAGGCACTGCCCATTGAGGGTCGTCTTGCTTTTTGCAATGGCCGAAGGCCTTCTGTAGCAACGCTAAGACAGCGCCCGGGATACTTTGCAAGGCAATGCACTGTTGTCATGCCGGGCTGCCTTCCAAGATGCTGGATTTTGCCATCAAGCTACTCACCTGGGAGATCGCCTTCTGCCCTGTTGCGCTGTCTTGCCAACCGGTGTCGCCGGTAAGACTGCCCCGAGCGTTGCATGCTGCAGGTTCATCTGTGTTGGGAGTAGGATTTCTGGGTACCAGTGCCAGAAGCTCCTTAAGTTCATACCGCTCCGGTGTGCCTGCATTTGAATGATGCCATTTTCCCCGCCCTGATGCAGATACTGTTCCCCGCCCCGATGAAGCTACTTTTGACTTTCAAAATATTTCAGGAATGTCAAGCGTTGGCGAGTGCTTGCTTTTTGGGAGCCTCCTTATCATGCACACTGCATAAGCCATACCACATTGGCAAGACAAGCAATCCCTGGCTGAACACATTTGAGAGCAACACACCTTTCATGCTCGCTAACAGAGGTATTCCAGCAAGTGTGCTTCTCCTGGGAACAGGGATCATCACATTGGTAGCATCGCCGAGCCCCTGCTGCTTATTAGGAAGAGCATCCCCACTCGAGTGCTTTCCTGAGGGAGGGGCGCTTTGTTTCTCTGGCTCTGCAGCCACTCTGGCATATCTTTGCAAACCCAGCAGGTCCACAACAACAGTGGCGAGATTGTCATTTGAGCCCTGCCTGTAAGCGGCTTCTGTTATGGCCTCAGCTACAGTCTGCTGCAGGGTGAAGGGCCGGGCAACTAGTCCTGGCAGCTTCTTAAGAGGCTCCCTTGTGCTTACTTCCTCATTAGCATTCATCAAATCTGGCACGGCTGCGCAAAGATCCTCTGCTGAAGACACATCGTTGCCACGTTCCGGCTCATCAGAGCAAAATGCCTGATCTCCACTGGGTTGTGTGCTTCCCACTGGGGGCTCTGGATATGAAGGGATGAGAGGAGGCGCAATCACAGGAGGCAGCGGTATAGCCTTAAGAGGACCAGACTGCATCAACCTGTGCTGCCGCCCTGCATGACAGCCAGCAACAAGTCACTGCTCTCTACGCGGCAGAATCTGCAGCTGCTTCCATTTTGTAGCTGACAAGACATGCAAATACACTTAGAAGACCCAGAATTTTGCGTTCATCCTTAGGTGAACCGACAAAAGGGGAAGTTCACGGAAGCTATGGAGGCTAACCCGAGGCTGTGGCAGCAGCAATGTCGCATATCTCCTCCTCAGAAAGGGTCTCCAACACACCATCTGAAATCAGGATGAGCCAGTCATCTGCGGGGCCTGCCTCATGCCAGGCGGCAAATTCTGGCTCGGCCGTCAGTCCAAATGGCCGGTACTGAGCATCCCCCACTGACCTGGATACTGCCAGCTCCCCCTGAAGCCTCTCTCGCTTTCCTAAGGGGGGCAGCCAGTCAGCTAATATCAACCCTCAGGTCATCAGAGTCAGACACAGCAATGCTCTTCGATGAACTGCACAATAATGCTCTCTCAAGAAATAGGTGTGCAGCAGCATTGTGCAGCTCTCCAAGGCAAAGCAGGGGCTGAGCATGGGCCGCATGGAGTAGACAACACCTGAGCCGTTTGTAGTGACACTGCCTCCCGCAGCCAGAATGCGAGCACGTTCATCCTCCCTCGCAGGAGTGTGATCCTGTGTAAGTGTTACAGCAGTCGTC